CTAATAAAAATGATGTGACACCCGAATTTTTTTTGCTTTATGAGTCCAACAGTCAAGTTAATTGAGTTTCAGACTCGTTTCTGCTATCATTCAGACATGCTTAGAGTTCGTTTAAAGGTTCAAAGCTCAGTACACTCAAGCATTGAGTAAAGGATTGGATCGCGTACACTTTAAACACCAAAATCCAACCCTACACTCCATATGAGGGAGTGTACGTCCGTACACATGAGTCTATGGCCGTACACCCATGTTGGGCCATATACACCCCTCCCTAAGTATGTTATCCCTTCATTTATAAGCCATTATTCAGTTTCCAAGTCAAGAACATCGATTTCTCTCTCAACTATCATCCCGTTTTTCATCTTGATCTTCAAAAGTGGTAGGTGATTCTTCCATCTTTCTTGTTATCCTTCTTCGTCTTGTAATCATCTCTTGATTCTTCCATGAAAACATGTCTTTTGACTAAATCTTCAAATCCTACCAAGAACACACACTTGTTCTTGGTGATTTTAAGCCTTTTTGAGCCTCCAGATCGTAAGTACTCTTCCCCTTTACTTGAATCTTGTTTAAAACACTTGATTAAGTCTTAGAAAAGGCCTAGAACACATAATCATATGGTGTGTGCGGCCGCACACACAGGTGCGGTCGTACACCCCTCAAAACACCCCTAAAGGCTTCCATATTGTAAGTACCATCCCCTAAGCTTGTTACTTACTAGATATAAGCCTTCGAAAATGTCTAAACCAAGTTCATCAAGGAGTGTGCAGCCGCACACACTCCATGTGGCCGTACACACCTTTTTTTAGTGCTTAAGGGCCTCCAAAGTGCCTTTCTAGCTTCAACACTTAATGAACATTAGTCCTACAAGCCTCCCTACCATTGGAAAAGGTTTTTGTGCACTCTTTACCATGAGTGTGCGGTCGCACACTCCCTGGCCGCACACCCATGGCTGCACACTCCTCAAGGTGGCTGTACACTCCCCTTTAGTGAATCACATGTGATTCCAACAGTTGGTCAAAGTGTTTCCTAGTCCCGTGAGGTGTTTCCTTACATTTGGTTGCTTCTAAACACAATATGTGTGTGTCAATATATGCCATTATATGTCATTTAGGACTCGTTAAGTCTCGGGACTTCATTCGTGGAACTTCTTATCCTTACGAGCATATCCATTTGAATCACCCACATCAGGTGAGTTTATACCCTGTAATCAATATTTTAAACTATTTTAAATGCTTTTAGGGGGGGGGGGGGGGATACAAGTTGAACACAATGTTAATTGTGTAAATGTTGTTATAAACATCTTTCTAAAGATTACTTATGTCTTTTATAAGTGATCAAAACATTTCAAAAACTCTTTTAAAGTTATGTTACTTTATAGTTTAACAAAACTCCATTTTTAAAGTACAAGCATAACTTAGTAGTAAAATGAGTCTTTTCAATAACAGTTCAAATAAAACACTAGTAAACTATAATGGGTATACTTTAGAGGGTCAGTTCATACTAGATACTAGAACATAGTATAAAGAGAAACAGGGAGGTAGAAACAATACACGATAACAGAAGGAACATACTAAGATACTATAATAGAACGAACATACTAAGATACTATAACCGAATGAACTTACTAAGATGTTATAGCATGGAACAACTACAGGATCTAATTATACCAATGAATCACTAAATCATTATTCTAAACAAAAGGTGATAGTTATATTAGGTATACATGAGCACATAACTTTAATGTGGATTACACGACCTAGCAACTGGTTTGCTGAAGTCGCGTTTGGTTCCCAGAATCTTTTAACAGGGAGAGCGTATAGTATGGGAACTAGCCTTCACATTATGACCTTAATAAAACAAACATATTTTAAGGTAATGTAGTATATCATGATGTCAATTCAAAATACAACTGGGTACTTATATTTTCCCGTTACTTTCGTAAAGTGACAGTTCCACTTGAAAGTTAATGGAAACTATTTTCGAGTTAAGATAGTTATAAACTAGGGAAAACGTACATCTTTTCAAACGACAAACAGAACGGTCGGGTCTAGTACATTCAGTAGATAGGGACCTATAATGCTAACTTTATGATTCCTTAGTGTATACATCAGGGACATATATTAATCAAATCGGATAGGTAATATGATGTGTGCTTTCCGCTTCATTTCCTATTCCTTGTTTGGTTGTGGGCTTAGAGCATATTCACCCAGTCTACTATCTATCTGATCTTAATTACATATATATTATGTATACACCAAGTAATCATAAGGGGTACCAGGTATGGGTCAGGTCATAAGACACTAATTCAATTCACAGTTTTCTAGTACAAAACGTACTTTTCAAACAGAACATTTGGTATTCAAAACTAGAAACTTAACAGTAAAGGGTTTAATCCATTTTATTAAACCAGTATAACTTAAAGGACCTTAGGTGATTAATTATATAATACCTTAGTTTATACATCAGGTTTATATATAATTAATACCCGATAGATAGTTGGATGTGTGTCTTCCGCCTCGTTTCCCGTTCCTTGTTTGGTTGTGGGTTTAGGGTAGATTCACACAATTAACTATCTATTCGATATTAGATTATATATAGCTTGTATAACCTAAGAGATTATAGGAGGAACCACTGTGGTTACCATTAATACTAAAAGAAATAAGGGTTTTCTTAAAGGATCTTTTCATTCAAATATAAAGGAACTATTGCAATTAACTCTGTGAGTACCAAGTGAATACACAAGGGTTATATACAACGATGATATAACAACCAATGGGATGTGTGTCTTCCGCCTCATTTCCTGTTCCTTGTTTGGTTGTGGGCTTAGGTAAGATACATACAATCGATTGTTTGTTTACTATAGGTTTTTATATAACTCGTATCCATTTAGTACTCATAGAAAGGATTGTAGAGTCATTTTTACTTATCTTTCATTAAAGCAGGAAATATAGTATTTTCTGGAGGAACATGTAAACTTTTCTAAACAAACTTACAACTTACTAAACTTTCTTACTACTTACTTACATCACTAAAATCTTATGAACTCACCAGCTTAATTGTTGATCGACTATTTCAAAATAACTTGTATTCTCAGGAAACTAGTAGACAGATACTCACGCTGGGAATTCAGAAGATGGAGCATAATAGCTCCAAGTCTTGTTTTGTTATTTACATATGTATTCTATATGTTGTGATCACATACTTTGTAAACACTTTCTTTCTTATGAAATGGTTTTTTATTGCTTTGCTTACTATGATGCATGTCTTGTGATACTAAACATGACGTCCTCCACCCCAGAATGTTTTTGCCGTTCCAGTTTTGGGGTGTGACAAATGAACACATTGGTTTGACTTGGTATTCCTGGGTCTTTGCATGATTAAAGTACTTATTCATTGAGAATGACTCTCATGTTGATTAATTCTATACATGTGAGAAAAATACTAGAACTATATCCATTAGAAATGTTAGGAAATATTAAGAACAATGGTTAGGATCCTGAAATGTGTTTGAGATTCTGAAAGTTCTTGAAGATACGGGATCCTAAATATGGTTGAGGATCTTGGCCCTAACAACTATCAAAAACTCAAGTAGGGATAATCCTTATTATAGTACTCCTATATGCACCCATACCCCACCAAATTGCCAATGTCATCGAACATAGTTCTATCCTCGTTCCAATCTCACACACAGCCTTAATATGATGCTACCCAATACTAAAACTTAATTGAACTAAGAATCCCATTTAGGTCTTAGTACATACCAATACAATATTACAATACCCGTAATCAACATAAATTTCATGCCTATGTAATGTCTTTAAAATACTAGACAAAACAGTCTTTCTACTTAATTTGAACTAAGTATCATGCATAAGTCTTACTAGGAAAGACTATAATGCTTGTAACCAACTTCCAAAAACCATTTTTCTATTTATACTATCACAATACTATATGCAACTACACTTTTATCCAACTTAACTGGATCTAAATATCCTTTATATGTCTCAGTTTAAAAACTATACTAGACTACAATATTTTGTAATCAACTTCCAATACCAACCCTTTTTTAGAGAACACTATCCTAATCTAGTGTATATATTTAACAAAGAGTATATTTAATATACATTAATCTTTCAAGTAAAAATACTTATATTAATATTTTTATATAATATTCCCATATATATACTTTAACACACACACACACACACACATATATATATATATATATATATAACCATATTTGGTTCACAGAATGTATACGCTTAACACATATTCCATATAATAAGCATTTACTCCAGAAAATATTTAATACATTTAATAAATACTTGTATTAAAATCAAGTTCATGAAAGTAACTATGCACTCACTTGATATAGGTGGAGGATCCATGTGAAAGCTAGCTCCCCGGCTAATATTTCCGCTTATCCCTTTTAAACAGCATAAATATGAGTATAACTACGTCTTAGTATTTGTTCGTATTTATACGAGTTTTTATAACTATTTTCCATATTCCTCAATAGTCTTAATGAATACTTCAAGTTCTAATTGATAGGGAATAACCAGATAAAATCATATCATAGGTAGGATCCATTTGGTATACAAAGTATATTGTTTGGAAAATCCACTTCAAACACCTCACTAGATCTAGCCTAGACATCATTCTCATAAGTAGATCAATCAGTATTTTGACTTGGAATTCCTGATAAATCTTATTTATATGTTCATAATAATGACTATGAATATAAATATAAGTTACAGTTAAAGCATTGTAAGTGCAGCTTAACTAACAGAAATTTCTGGTAAAAGTTTGGAAAGTCACGGATAGAACTTCGTTGTGGGAAACTTCTTCCTGTCGGGATTTTTATTGTTGCAGTGCCTCGCTAAAGTAGCAGAAACCTAAAAACCTCATCAGCATCTCAGGTCTAGAGAGAGAGAGAAAGAGAGAGAGAGAGAGAGAGAGAGAGAGAGAGAGAGGAATGAACAGAGTGAATTGGTGAAGAAATGAGACGCATCGCTAAAAGGGGGGACGCGTCGCGCCTTTATCTGGGCACCTGCGCCTATGCGTGCTCAGCAAGGTCTGGTCTCCAGTCATGACATGTCACCTACAACAAGTAAATTTTGCAAACTTCGAAAAATGATATATTTGGCATATGAGCTCCGTTTTTAACATCCTTTATATCCTCGATTTTGTCTCGACGAGTACTACAACTTTTCTTTAGACTTCAATAGTTAATTCACATTCTATTTTTAGTTTACAGTATATGAAGTTTACACCGTAAAAAAGACTTTGCAAAAATCATAACTCCTTCATACAAACTTCGTTCTTGACTTTCTTTATATTGATGGATTCATATTTTCGAGTACATCAACGCTATTTTACATTGTTTTGGCTAAGAAGCAACCAATCTCCATTTCACTTTTTATGACACACATTGTTATGTTGAGTTGAACGTGAAACTTCGAAAAAACATAATAACCTCATACGAAGTCAAATTTATGCATTCTTTATACCCACGGGCTCGTGATCATGACTACTACAACTTTCATCAAAACTATTTATCCAAAGTATTTTTTATTTTTAAACATTTATTAACATAATTTATTAAATGTATAATAAGGTTTTATACAAAATATTGAAAGCGCATAATATTTGTCCATAAAACATGTACGCAAATATAAATATCATTTATATAACTCGTATCGCGTACGAAGGATTCTTATTTATTTACAATTATCCTCTTCAAAGATTTAACTATTCGAAAAAACGAATCTTTATAATTTATAATCTTTAAAGCGTCTAGCCCGAATTTGCGGATATTACACATGGTGTAGATAGTATTACACATTTAAATGAACTTTCTTTATAGAGAAAACCATGTTAGGCATTTTACAATGAAATCTATTTATAAAGAAAAGTATGTTAGGAATCATGAATGAACCTATGTGTTTTTTACAATATGAAAAGTTTTATGCCAATATACCATCATACGTGTTTTTTACAATATGAAAAGTTTTATGCCAATATACCATCATACATAACATATTATGATGTGTGATGAAAATGATGAAAAGAAAGAGATGTGTGCATGCATAAACTAAATGTGAATTTGTAACACCCGTTTATTTGTTAAATAAATAAATAAATAAATGAAGGACTCGTAGCCCTAAAATAAATAATTATGTATAAAAGGATGGTCTCGAAGAGCTAATCGTCACCATTTTAGAAGTCGAGGGTTAAAAGAGTAAGTTCTGGACCCAATTCGTAAGTATTAATGAGGGTGGGGAGTAAATATTAACTTTTGGGACTTCATTTGAAAGGATTTTAGAGGATTAGGGGTGTTATTTCGTAAGGAATCATGGAAGGGAGCGCTAAAATGTAAGTTTTGGATTTCTTTTGAAAGAGAATTGAAGGGCAGGGTTTAAAAGAAGTTATGGGGATCGAGGTATATAAACCCGTCACCCCCGGTAACCCTAACCCTAGCCTCATTTGTACAGCCGCCAACTTCCTCTACACTCTCCTTCACCCTCATCGGCATCTCACCACCCATCTCCGCCGATTCCAATCGCCGCCATCACCATAGAAGCCTCTCAACAGTCGAGGGCATCACCAAGCTCGATAGTTCTCGTCTTCGCCTACTGCTTCGTTGACGAAGGCCACCATTCCGCCGCCTGATGCCGTCAGTTACGTCGTGTATGGCCGGAGATGGCCTGTAACCGCTGCCCGTTTCTGAACTCGTCTTACTGCAGCCGTTCTTTTCTTTTCCCTTTCGCTCCATCCGCCGCCAAGGGCGTGCTTCTGTTGCTCCGGTCGTGGTCGCCACCCCAAAGGGTTGTCGAGTTTGTGTAGGTTATCACCAGTCGAGTTGGGGTGCGTTTCCTTGTATGCCTGTTGCTGTTGGCCAGAAAAGCATGGGAACCACCATGGCAGCCGCCATGGCGGCTATCACCTTGCTACCGTCGCCTTATGCCACAAAGAGGGTGGTTGGCTTCCCTCTCCGAGTAAAGGAATGAATAAGTGCATGTTTCAGTTGATGTGTGTGTGGGTGTATGGTCGGAGTCCTTGAAAAAGGCATTACCACCACCATACGGTGGTGGCTGCCACCATCTGCCGCCGTCGGCCACCACAAGGTATTTGTGTGTGTGTGTGTGTGTATTTGTTTAGTGTGCTATTTTGATATTTAGCATTGTATATTGTAAATCACAGATTGGAATAATAAAAAGAAATTGAAAACCACCACCGTGAGGGGGTGGTTGCCGCCTCCTGCCGCCACCGGCCGCCATGTCGGGTGGCGGTGTGCTTGTCTTGTGAGTTAACTCGATTGGGGATGCTAGAAACCCTAATGGGCTCAAAGGAGCTCTAATGGGCCCAATGAAGCTTAATGGACTCTAATGGATCCAATTAAATCCATATGTTCTTAATCAGATTTTAGTGGGCTTATTAGGCCCAATAAAGCCCTAATTGTCATAAAAGGCCAACAAATTGATAAATGGGCTAATATTTGGATTGGAACACCATAATGCCAATAAAACCCTAATTTGTGGAAATTGCTTAGGACACACACGAGAATTAATTATTAAATCTTAAATAATAATTAATAATCATTGGCAAACTAGCGTAGGGCATCATGGACTTAATGGATTAAGTCCTTAATGGATTAAGAAAGAAACACTGAACCTTAATCATCATTTCATGTGAAAACTCTAATTTGGGATTATGGGCTTGGACTTATCGAGACCCACATTTGGGCCATTGGAATAGAATTGTGTGATTAAGCCCAATCACACCATATGACTTATTTAGAAGAATGATGGACTTAATGGATTAAGTCATTAGAGGAATAATTCCTTAATGGGTTAAGTAGGAAACTTAACCCTAATCGGCATTTTATGTGAAACCCTAACTTCACTTGGGTTTATTGTTGGGCCTTTCTATTGGGCCTTAATGATTGGATTATTAATGGGCCATCCAAGAATAATTATATGGGCTAAAAGAATTTAATGGGCCTAGGGTAAGTCCCATGTAAGGGGTTGGCCCAATTTGGAAAATTAGGCCATAGATGGACCATAGTTGGGCCTTAATGATTGTATTATGTTGGGCCATAAGACCACATATAGGCCTGGGTTACTGGGCTTTGATTCCTAGTTCGCTTTGGGCCTATGGTTTGGGCCTTGGGCTTGAATAAAGCCAATCTTAGGGTAATGTAGTAATTATCCAAGTATGTATTTATGGTTATGTGTTGGGACCCAATTATTAATTGGGTGTTATTTTGGTGTTGACAGTTCGGGAATCTGTCATCCAGTAGTTGGGGTTGAGTCTGTGGGACTTCAGCAGTGTGGGGTTGTATCTACGGGACTTCAGCAGTATGAGGTGAGTTACCTTCCAGTAGCGGTAGGTCTAAGGCCACAATGTCGGCCCACCAGTAGGAGATGTATGATAGATGATTGTCTTTGTGATATCATCTAGGTTTGCTACTACCTGATATGTTATATGCTAGCATGATATGTTGTATGTGATAGTAGTAGAGTTCGGTTGTTAGGACCGAAGGGTAGTCAGACACCCCAGGTACGTCTGACAGTATCTGATGATATGTTTTCATGCTGGCTTGTTATGTCATATACGATAGAGGTAGTAGGAGGGGATCAGTCCCCGAGTTCGGTTGTTAGGACCGAAGGGTAGCTCAGGCACCCTAGATATGTCTGATAATATGTTTATGTTATGTTATATGTGATAGTAGTAGTAGGGGGCGAAATAGTCCCCGATGTTCGGTTGTTAGGACCGAAGGGTCGTCAACACCCCAGAATGGCTCGACATGGGTAGGTCAGCGCCCCAGAATGGCTTGACACGGGAAGGATGGCACCCCAGAATGGCCGCATGGGTAGGTCGGCACCCCAGAATGGCCGTACCGGGTAGGTCCAGGCACCCCAGAAATACCTGGCAGTATGTATGTGATATGATTGTATGGTATGTGGTATGATGGGGGAACTCACTAAGCTTCGTGCTTACGGTTTTCAGTTTTGGTTTCAAGTACTTCGTGTTTAATGGAAAGGAGTCGGCTTGATCGCAACTCATCACACTATGGTTTTCCGCACATGAGATCTTTGGGATTACACTCTGATATTGTTTTATGATAACATGTTTAATTATTTCTACTTTGGTTTTGACATGACATGACATTACGAATGTTTTATTACACTGTTGGTTCTATAATGACGTATTTAAAAGTGAAATTTTTGGCCTATATTTTTGGGATGTTACAGAATTACATTTAGCTATGCTTAATATAGTCTAGGCACATGACATCCTATATATAGGGACCTAGAAGACTCAAATGAGATGGTACCTCCCTTCATGAAATATATGTCTTATGGATATGTTGTCATGGTAGATTAACTTTTTATTCACACATAACCATTAATATAAAGTAGCATGGTGAATACTTGAAATGATAAAAGTTTTATACTACTAGAGCATCATACATAACATATTATGTATCATACAAAACATATTATGATGTATGATTGAAATGATGAAAAGAAAGAGTTGTGCTTATGCATGAATTAAATGTGAATTATATTAAGATATGATGATTTGCAATCCATACACTTGACATAAAATAGATAGAGATTTAGACGACTCAGTCGAAGCGGTATATCCCTTCACAAATAGATGTCTTATTGATATGTTATCATGGTAGGTTGATTTGTCATTCATATTATAGCATAGACACATGGTGGCCGTAAATAATGTAAGGAGTAACTCGTGAACGTATATTATCCCTTTAATTCTTAGAATACCCGCTACAACCTTTTCCAAGGCTATGTTGATTCAATGGATTTTGTGGTTTTGGGGCTCAATTCTTGCAACAAGGAATCAAATTTTGAGAGAAAATTGAAGTTTCATAAAACTGAAGAGTGACGATCCATATTACTTTATCTAATTCTTCAACACTTTATTCACATGTGTGTGTATCTTGTCTTTACATATTTAAATAGTGGACGTGTTCAATCCTTCGGACTTATCCAAATTCTTGTATATTTATAATGTATAAAATACTAATATGAAAGTTCAACTGATTAAACATTTTTACTTATGTATAAATTTCGGTTGTTTACATTGATTTGTACATTTAGGGGTTACACTAAATGGGAGAGGATTGTTGGTGATTTTAGAGTTACTTGACCATTTAGTATAATTGGAGTTTATATGTGTGCTAAAGAAGACTCAAATTGTGATCTAATTCAAGTCATGGGCACAAAGTCTTCACTTTGTATAATATGAGTTTGATCCCCAATCACGAAAAATGGCATGGGTTAAAGGGATCGCACCGCTTACAGAGTCAAAGACCATACTCTAATTGTGGTTTTGTTAGCCTATCAGAGGGCATGGTGGTAATGCCTCGTAGCCTAAATAGAATTTCAAGACTAGGATTAAGTGGGAAAACACCCTCTAAGTAGTAAATCGGCTTTAAAAAGTTGTATTGGTCTTAGGCTGACTTATCAGCTCTAAGATTCAGTTTGAAGAGCCAATTCGTCTTGAAACTGATTAGTTTTAATGGTGTCAGTATGTGACTAATGTTGGGTCAGCTCAAGTTGACTTGTTAGTTCGGGTTGACTTTGACTAGTTTAGACAATATCAGTTTCGGCTTAACCCGTCATTTGTCGTTCAAACTAAGTTGTCAATGTAAATCACGTTTTCTCATCATTATCTAATTTCTAGATAATATAACTATAAGGACTCACGATACACCATTTTGAAATATCTAAGATCTTGAACAATCCTTAAATTACATTGCTTCCTTTTTTTTTTTTTTTTTTTGTCTAAAATGGTGCATTTTGCGAATTGTTGTATATTGAAATATGTGTAACCTAGGCATAGGGATGAATTATCGATTAACGATGGGAATTTTACACGATTCATCAAGTTTCTTAGGAACATTTTTATTGTCTAAACTGGCTCTATTTTCCTTCCTTGTTTGTTCTAACCGATGAGGTTGAAGATGAATAATGTTTAAAAGAATTCTCTATTAAAGAGGCCAAAAACACCTTACTTGACAGATCCTCAGCTTACTTAGATATCATTTAGGACCAAAACGACACAAAATAGTTGCTTTCGGATCAAAAGAGCAGAAAAGAGTTTTCAATGGACTAAACTTTCAAAAATAGTTACAACTCCAAATTTTTAGCTTGCTCAAAAGCAAAGTCTTCTACTTTTCACACTCTCTTTCTTCCTCCAATTTTTAAGTAATGTCACTTTCTTTTATTCCACCTTTACATATATTAGCATTATATCACCAATAAAAAGGCTGAATAAGGTCTTGGACCTTTGTCCTGTCACCATCCATAGTAGGTATATATGATCTTGAATTTTCACTTTTAATATGAACATATCATATTTCATACTTTAACTAGTTTTCTATTTTTTGATGGCTGATATTTGAGTATGTTTTGTAACACTAACCCACTACATATTATAAAAATACCACATGGAAAACACACAACATAAGTTTGGTAGATGCGCCTTTTGATATTTCAACCATCTTGGCTACATGCACGCTAAGCGAACTCATTTTAATTTGTATTCATTAAAAGGTAAACATATGCAAAAATACTAATATATATAATTATATATAACATCAACCAAAGCCCAGATGAATCTAATCACAAGATCATTGTCAGCCTACAAATTACACCCATTCTTTCTTGTTAGTTTCAAACTATAAACACTTAATTTCTAAAATTTCTGAAAAGTAACCAACCAAGAAACACTAAAAAATCAAAACAAAAACCCGAAATCGCCCCCGTATCTCTAACACGAACCTAAAGCATACGTGTTTTACACCTCCATCCACATCTTGATTTTCCAATTTGGGGCAAAATCCGCCACTCCTTTTGAAAAAAAACCTAATCACCTTTTCTTTCTTCCAAGAATACCAATCATAGCAATTACATAAATAACCAATACTTGATGAATGCTCATGGTATTCTCTATCAACAAGGTTATAAGTTCATGC